ATACCCGCGGGGCGCCACCCGAGCGGCCAAAGCTTCAACCCCGGGTGAAGCATACGATGCAGCGTAAGTAGAACTGGTAGCCTACGACTTGCAAGCACTTTCGCTGGGGACGCGCACAGGGGCGCACGAACGCGAGCGCATATCTGCAACCGGAACCCACACATCAGCCTGGACACGGACATGCCCGTGTACCGACCCCTTGCAAAACGACGGCCAGAGGTATGCATGTTTGCACACGTGACAACGTGTGCAAAGTCGCATGCACATACAAGCGCAGACGCTGCACGCCTGCAAATCAGCAAACGCACGTGTTTGGTTGCCACGCGTGCACACACCGATTCGCTTTGAAGCAGCGAACCGCGCCGCAAATCAAATTGGCACACAAGGGCAAGGCAGCTCCGACTGGTCCTTCGACATCACCCTCCTGTCGTTCCCTCGTGTTCGCCCTCCTCCTCCTCCTCCTCCTCCTCCTCCTCCTCATCCTCCTGCCCGTCATCTAAGTCCTACCATTCTAGCCCTCACCCACCCCCCGTCATACCACCACCCACAGCTCCAATCATTCCTCGATGCCTCTCCCTATCTTCTCCTAGACTAGATTCAGCGATTCCCCTCCGACTCACCCTCTCCCTCATCATTATCCTCCTCCCCACTTCCCTGGAATATTCCTGCCATCCACTCTGCTCACACTCCTCTCTTCCATCACCCCCGCCCTCTCGCTCTCCATGCCTTTTACCTCTCTCTCTCTGTGAGTGCGTCAGTCTCTGCCTCTTCCTATGGTCGCTTTGCGTTGTACGCCTAACTCGTGAAAATTTCGCACATGGATGGAGCAACGCACGGGGTGGCAGACGACAGACGACTGCGTTCACAAATTGGCAACACACTGGAACCGCAACGTTGGCAGAAAAAAATACAAACGGTCGAATCCAGGGTGCGCACCCATTCCGGTTCCTTCCGCCTGCCCCTGCTCCTGATCCTCTTGCCGTTCCTGATCCTCTTCCCGTTCATGGTCCTCCTCAATTTCCTCATCGTTTTCCTCTTTGAGGGGGAACCGCCCAGGATGGACAGGAGACCGCCTGGGGTGGCAAGGAGATCGCCCGGGCTCGAAGGAGACCCCTTGGATTGGGAAGGAGACCGCCTGGGGTGGGGAGAAGAGTGACCAGTGACCGGAGTCGGGAGGAGACCCCTTGGAGTGGGAGGAGGCCGCCTGAAGTGGGGAGGAGATCGACAAGGGGTGGGGAGGCATCAAGAAAGACATGTTTGCCGCCTCGCCCGGGTCTGACGACTTCCCCGCCCCCCCGCCGCCCCCAGACGCTGGCCAGGGCTGCTTGCCTTGCCCCTTGCCGCGTGCGACAAGATCTCGCCGACGCCAAGGCTCCGACTCGCCCCGCACCTGTTGGCCCTCTACGGGGCCCTCGAGAACACGAGCCTCCACCCTGGGGTGGTAGATCGCCTAACCCACGCTCGGCACGGAGTCTGCAAGACAGGGCGTCGGCGCTCGCACCACACACAGCACACACCATCCCCTTGACGCACACGCCAGCCTCCTAACCCCAGGGAGGAGGGAGGAGGAGAGGAGGGAGGGAGGAGGAGAGGAGGAGAGGAGGGAGGAGCAGAGGAGGAAGAGGGGGGGCGGATGAGAGGATGGAGGAGAGGAACCCCCTGGGAGACTATCGCGTACGCAGCGGCCTCTTCGGCAAAAACATCGGCAAACGAGTCTCTCTCCCTGGTACCATGTGTGACTCGCCCCCGCTCTAAATTAACCACGGTGGTGCGGGCCTTCACCATGTGTAGCCGAAGGCCTCTTGGGGAAACCAAAGGTACGGTCACCGCTACTCCGCGGACCTTTCCCAGGGTGCGGTCTGACCAGGATTTCGAAGCGAATCCAGCGGTGGCGACGAGGGCCTCCGAGGAGGCCTAAGAAGGCGAAAACTAGGGAAGGGTCTCGGTAAGGGTACCCTGTCCTCCTCTGACTCTCCTCAAACTCCACCTCTTCCTGGTCCTCCTCCTCCTCCCCCTCGTGATTCGTCGTCGGGTTGCCAGGGGCGTTTTTGGGCCGTCGTCGTGGGGCTGCCCTTGAAGCGACACCATGAAAGAGGACCCCCAGACCTGAGGGACGGAAAGGCCCCTTGCTTCTTGTGTGTGTTGCTCCTGTTCTTTCTTGCTTTCTTTCGTTCTGTCCTTCTTTCGGAGGAGAAGAGCAATATTCTACCACCGCCGCGAGTGAGCGTCAGCCTGGACGCCCGAAACGACAGCCAAATTGAAGCAGAAGGTGCGTTGGCCTGGACGCCCAAAACGACAGCCAAGTGGAAGCAGAAGCAAGGAGAAAGGCCCCTGGCCTCTTCTGGTCATCCCTGGGAACTCCGAGCTGGGTCTCCATTCGCCGGGCAGGGTGGTGGCCGGAACAGGCCCCCCTTCTTGGCTCTCGGGGTGAGAGCCTTCGGCAAGACGGCGCGCAGACTGCTGCCATTCTGAGTCCGACCGACCTTCACCCTGCTATCCCCAAACCCATCGCCCAGGCCTGATCGAAAGCAAACCTCAGCTCGGAGCCAATGGAGACCGTGTCCATCGCAGCCGCGACGACCATGGCCCCGCCCATTGTCTCCTCCTCGGCGACCTGCAGCACTGGAAACTCTGAACCTGGGCGCCGTGGAGCAGAGGACAGTCAGCGCAGGAGGACGGGAGGCCAGGAGGAGTGGGGGAGTCAGCGCAGGATGGCAGGAAGACCTGCGCTATTCTTCGGGAAGATGAAACGACCACGAGAATTCCACGATCGTCCCACAGACGGGGGAGACGAAACGAGCTTCCGACGAACGTCCCAAATGCGCGTAAAGTCAGCAACCGGGGAAGCCTGGATTCGAAAACGTGAAAGAAACGCATCGGCGCAACAGGCGGGGCAACCGAGGAGAGGAGGAGGAAAAAGGAAAGATGGGGGAAGGGTTGCGAAGGAGGGGCCGCTCAAGATTTTCGGAAGATCGCACAGCGTCGCCGATGCATCGGCGATGCATCGGCGATGCATCGGCCGCGTCGGGAGGGGAAAGGGTGGTGCCTCGAATCGCGGCGCACCGCCGCTGCGTCGGTACATGCGGCACGATCCCACGGCCCCACCCACTTGGAGGAACTAGGCAATCACGTTCGCGCTTCCCGCTCCGCGAAGCGCGAAGCGCGCTGATCTTCGCGCTTTCGGGTCGCCCCACCCACAGAACAGGATGAGGGAGTCGCGCCTCGCTCTGAAATCGCCCAGGCCGGAAGCGCGAAGCGCGGCGAAGTCCGCACCCTCGCGGTGGCCCTGGTTGAGACGACGGCAACTCTCCTGCCCGTCCCGGGACCCCTCCCGAGGTCCAGTTCGGACCCGTCTCTCGAAGCGGACCCCGCCGCGGCGACGAGACTCCCCGCGGGAGGCCCAGAAAGGACGACCTCCGCCAAAAAGAGGCCGCCGCCGTCTCGACTGGCCCTCCTCCGATCCACTCCGGCCCCACGTGGGCGAATCTTGGACCTTCCCGCAGAGAGAGAGAGAGAGAGAGAGAGAGAAAAAAAAAGAGAGAGAGAGAGAGAAGGGCCGGCGGGCGCCGTCGTGGCGCATGCAGTCCACCAGGGGCACCAGCGCCTGAGGGGCAGCGGTAAGGGGGGACTGGCATGGGTGGGGCGGCATCGGCCTGGACTCGGCGATACATCGCCGATAGATCAGCGATGGGCCCCCGATAGCAAATCCCCGCATTCCTGGGCGGGGTGGGGCTATCGGGTCCCCATCGGCGATGAATGGACAATTGAGGGTCGATGCATCACCCCCTGCGCTGATCCCCCTATCGCTACCCCTGAGCACCGCGTACTGCGGTACGCCATCGGAACCCAGCCCCGCCATCGTGGCGCGCGCCTCGACCAGGCACAGCGCGAACTTGAGCTCGGCCTCGGCCACGGGGTTTAGTACATAATCCTTACTGAGGGAACCTTGGCGCAAAGAACATCCCTGCTGCGAAACCGCCTGCAAAGAACCCCTCTAAAGAATCATCACTAGCCAGACCCCCGACGTCATGAATTTTCATACCGTCGACTCCAAGAAATCTCGACCCATTCCCCGGGACCGGCTTCTCATCCTGAACCCTGTTTTGACGGTCCCGAGAGCCGGAAAGAACCCACAGGGGCCGAACATCGGGAAACAGCGCCCGTCGAGTTTTTTTGTTCACAACGCGAGGGGGTCTGGGCTCACAGGCGAGTAGCGGGCGTGGGGAGGAGGCGGCGCGCAGCAGCCCCGCCACCCGACTTCGCGCACCGCGCCACCGCGTCGGGCGGCGCGCGGCGGTCTCCCCGCTGGCCGAGGGACAAGGCCGCCGTGCAGAGGGGCAGCTCTCCGGACCGGGGCCGCGACGCGAAGAAGCGAGGAGTGCCTTCGCTGCCCAGACCCCCTCGCGCTGTGCGACGGTCGCGGCGGGCGGCTTTTCCCAATCTTCGGCCCCTGGGGGGTGCTTCCCGGGCCTCGGTGCCGTCAGAGAACGACTCAGGAGAAGAAGCCGGTCCCTGGGAAGGGGTCGAGACCTCTTGGGGTCGACGTGCTGAAAAATCATGGCGTCGGGGGTCGGGGTACCTGGGCGGAGGGCCAGGGAGTGAACCCGCCGAGCTCCCGTCGCCGCGCCCGGTGCGCGAAGAGAGCCCTTGCGTGATTGTATGTCTCCTCCTCCCTGTTCTCTTCCTCCTCCTCCTCCTCCTCCTCCTCCTCCTCCAGCTTCTCCTCCTCCTCCTCCTCCCGCCTTTCCTCCTCCTCCTCCTCCTCCAACTCCTCTTTTTCATGCCGATACACTGGGAACCCCGCCTGTGAGCTACACAATCCACAGCCGCAATCAAGATCCAGGAAGGGAAACCTGGGCCATTCTCTTGATGGCCCTCTTGCCATGGGTCCATGGGGCATTACAAGGGGAGAAGCCTCTTTCAACTGCCTCGCACAGTGGGCCCCGCACGTTGAGCAGGTGGCCCAAGGGCGCGAAGCATCACGAAGGGCCACCTCCACCTCAAAACTCACAAGCCCGTGTCATTCCTCCCCTTGCTCCTGCGGCCGACGGTTGGCGCCCACCGCTCGGATCGCGGTCGATCCTCCACACATCGCCAACGCGGGGGCCACCCCGCGGGCGACCTAGAGAAGGGGGTGGGGTGGGGAGAGAGGGTAGCCACCCTGGGAAGCGGAGGCCCCCGAGACTTAGCTGCCCCGATACGCAACACGCAACACGTGACGTATTGCTACGGACCTCAACACGTGGGCTGAATACGCGGGTCCGACGCGATACGTTCGCGAAAACGTGGAGTCAACGCGCAACGTATTGACACGGACGTCTTGAACACGGGACGTGTTGCGTTTCAATACGGGCGTATCGAGACAACTAAGCCCCGAGAAGTTCTCCGGGAAGGCGTGCGGGCTTACAACGAAGCCCGAGAGGCCTTCTTAAGAAGGCCTATTGCAAACTCACGACGGTAAGCTGGCGGACTGCCTGGATCGCCCTGGACCCTCCCTCCCTAGCACGCTGGCGCCTGAAGCGCAGAGGGGGTCGGAGGGGTCGCGATGTCTGCGCACGGGGCGCTGGCCTTCGCCAGTCCTGCCAGGCTTCCGCTTGCAGGGTCGCCTGTTGCTCCGATCCCTTCCGTGGAGTCGGATCCTTGATTTCTTGACTCGCTGCCTGCGCTGGGCGCGCGCGCGCATCCGGCCAACTCGGGACACCGTCACGCGGTCCGTGCCACCCACCCTGCTCCTTGTGTCGGGTCGGGCGAAAGGAGGGGATAGCACAGGGGGGGGGTGAGAATCAGCTCACGCAGCTGATTTTCCCGGCGCCTCCCGGCGCCGGAGGCGGCTATGTATCGACGAATGGGCCCCTCGGTGAGGCCGAAACCAGCTGCATGCAGCAAATTTCGTAACCCCCCCTTTCCCAATCCCTTTCGTCCGGCCCGATTGTGGGAACGGCCGCATGCGGCACTCCTGCTGTGGAACTCCGTCCTGCTCCACCCCACGGCGCGCAGTATGGCAGGGGGAGGGCCGTGCACAGAGCTTCTGCGGGCTGGGCCTCTCTCGAGGCCAGCGCATTGCCTCTGCCGCTTCCGCGGGCCCTCCACGGACTTCCGCAGAGGGCGCGGGGTCAGCCCTTGGATCAGTCGGAGAAGAGGCCCTCCACAGAACCGGAGCAGTACGCCATCTTGCCGGAGTGCGTCCTTGGTATCGGAGATTGGGTCCAGTGAGGCTGCCCCTGGGCCGCGCTTTCCACGTTGCGTTGGCTCCAGAACGCGAGCCCAAATTCAAATACATGCCCAACATGCCTTTCGAGTTTTATTGCGGTAGGCATCTACGCCCGCAATTGCCTGCCGTAGTGCTCCGCGCGTGTGCTCGACGCTCACGAAGCTGGCCACACTGGCCAGCGTGAACTTCGGCTCAGACTCATCTCGCGAAGGCTCACCTGCCCCAAGACTGACGCGGACGACGCGGTCGTCGCCGAAGCGCTCCGAGAAGGCCGCCAGAACCTCGGCCGCGAACGCGCCGTCGCGGTCGTCGCTGTCGTCGAAGCCGTGCGCGCCTCCCATCAACACGTACACGCAGCCGGGGCGCGGGCTGCGCCGTTCGCCCAGGTCCCTGAGCTGGTCGTAGGACACATCAGGCCGCGCCGGCGTGAATACGAGCACGGCCGCGGCCTCCGGCAGGCGCGCCAGCTCCGCCCTCAGGCCCTCGAGCTGCTGCCTCCGAGTAGGGGTGGATTGACGCCGAGGTAGATTTTTGTCGTCGAATCTGCAAGAGATGCGCAGAATGTTCCCCAGATCTGCAGAACATTCCACGTCTTTTTTCGTGGATCTGGCGCAGAAAGCAATGAATCTGGCGCGACCCCCATCAGGGGAAAGCTTCCTATTGCATGTGCGCAGTGCTTGGCATTGCGAGGAACAAGAGGAACCCGAGGGAGCCGAGGAAGAGGAGTCCGAGGAATCTCCGGGGAACGGACAGAGTAGCACCCCGAGGCACCAGTCTTCAACCAAGTGAGAACCCCTTTAGGCAAGCAACATTGGAGGATGTAACAGTAGATCAATGTTATATTGGAGGCTTAGACATGGGCACCAACACCAACACAGAGGGTTGCCTCCACTAGGGAATGGTGATCCTGGGTGTTGGTGTTGGTGGTAATCTTTCGGCCAATTTGGAAGCCCGAATTTTACCACCATCACCGAGATCGGGATTATCTTCGCTCGGTGGAGGCACATGACGGATATTGTCGACTACACGCAGAGAGTGACCCTGGGTAAGAGTGACCTTTGGTGCGCGGCTTTTTGGGGACCGCGGGGGGACCAAACACAAGCAAGCGCGCAAGATGCTACTATCGCATCGCGTTTGGCGACCCGGGTTTCCCATTTGGCCCGCACCAGAGGTCACTCTTACGTCTAGTCGGTATTGGTGTTGGTGTGAACCTCCAGGCCTCCGATGACAGTCGATCTTCTACCCGACGCCTGCGCGCCGACGCCAGCGACTCGGGCGCCGCCGGGGCC